TGACCTAATACAAAGAAAATGCTTTGCATAAGTAGTTGTTATACTGTACTGTTTAGGAAATTAAAAGAAAAGTTTCTACATGTTCAGTACAGACACAACCATTCTTTTGTTGCTGTTGTTCTAAGTATCTTCATTCAATCTAATCTTGGTTGAACCCACAGATGTAGAACCCACGGACACAGTAGCCTGATGGTATTTCCCTGCTTCTATATACACTTATTACTGAACATATACAAAGAGCAAGCTGTATTATTATCAGGGAAAAAAAAGTGATAAGAAACCTTAAAATATACTACACAAATGTTTATAAAAATAATTTTCTAAACTTAGAACATCTCACCCTTCTAATATTAAGAAAAGCAAGATGACAAAGACATAACTAAGAAAGCATCTCTTACAAGAGGTTGTATCAGGGGTATTGGAAAACTACCAAACATGCTAAGCAACTAAATCAAACAGAAATAAACCCAGGGAATAAGAAACATTTCAAGGTCTCCCTTTAAAAAATCAAAAGAAAAGGAAGCTAATGATGCCATTGCAATAGGTTCCCTTTATTACCTTCTTCCCCTTTCCCTAATCAGGTAAGAATCTCTTTTGGAAACTTGTCCACCTGGTTTTTATAGTAAGTCTACCTATGTTAATTGTTTAGGGGAAAATATAATTTAGAAAAATAATACCATTCATCATTTAGACAGAAGGAACAATGGCTTGTGGCAACTGCACAGTGAAATGGTCCACAGTCTTTATTCTCAACCCTGCATGATAGGTTGATTCTTCTAAGTGATCATTACATCTTTCTTGATGGGATGAATCACATGCTCTCCACAGACTAGCTGGCCTCTTCATTCACAGCAGCACCGACTTAATAAGAAGGACCAAAGAGGTGGCAAGATGATCTAAGTATTCACACCAATTGAAATACTCTTCCCCAAGATAAAATATTAACTACACATTAACTCTCAAATGAAAATACAGCCTCTATAAAGAAACTTTCCACAGAAAGTGTCAACAAAATGTTCCCTCAAACAGTTGGAAAAGGTAGTCAGCCACAAAATACAGGACACAGAGGTGAGAATTTCAAAGAACTTTGAAAAAAGCTACAACTTACCTACTTTCTCCATCTCACCATTAAAATTATTAAGAAATCCAGAAGCCCATGGAACCCTTGGCTGCTTCAAGTTCTCAGCCACTTGAGTATCATCATCATCTGTACACCCTGCCCTAAGTCGTACACTAAGCCTAACAGTGGAATGAGATTATGACCACTTTTTCAACAAGGAAGACTCCACCTCTCATTTGTGGTTTTGAGCCAAAGGCGAGTCTGACATGGTAGTCCTCTAACATATCAGAATGCAACTTTTCTGCTTAAAAACAAAAGATTTTAATTGATTGGTAACATTATTCTAAAATAATTCACTCTGCTACTTTAACTTGGAAGACTATAAACCACTGAACTATTTAGATGAGTTATTTAAGAATGTTAACTTATTTCAACCACTAGGGATCACTAAATCAGAGGGCTATGAATGCACAACTCATTTATTTCTACCATTTTATATAGAAAACCTGAACCACTACACACACATAAGAATTTATAACATCTTAAAGCATGACAGCATAGGTAAGCTCTCATGGGCTTAACAGAAATAATAAACTGAATGCTTTGTACCTAAGCAGCAAGTATGCTTTCCTTCCTTCTGAATATTGAAAAGATGAGAAGTCTGTTTATAACCAAAAATAAGATACTACTTAATCATATTTATATATGAGCTCTCAGACTAAAATACAAACAGCATAAAATGCAGACAGCAAAATTAGTATTTGAAGAGTAAAGCCAAAGAAAATTCAAAAGACTAATTCATTACACATTACTATTCAAGTATATTGTATGCGAATATCACTTCATCTAGAAATATATATGTAGATCAAGACCGTTCTTACAGGAAAGCAAGGGCATCTGCCTAAATTAAAAACTGCTCCATGTAAGTATAAAGACTGTTGAATATGTAACAATTTTTAAGATAAATATTATATTTACAAATGTCTCACAACACCAATACTTATAATGTGAAAAAAAGGAAAAGAGCACGAATGTTCAAAATCAAGAGAAAACAGAGTACTTCCTACAATGAAATCTTTTACACTCATTAAAATATTTGTAATAAAATTCACACCGGGGGAAATCTCTATTATATGAGAAATAATGTTGAAATAACCAGGATGGAAATATGTGAACATAGCATGACTCCAACGTACGTGTGTGTGTGTGTGTGTGTGTGTGTGTGTGGGTGTGTGAATGCTGGTTGCTGCTGGGTTCTGAAATTACGTATAATTTATTTTGTTCTATTCTACAAGTTTGCCGAATTTTCTATAATGATAGAAGCATGTTATTTAAAACAATGTCAGGCTGGGCATGATGGCTAATATCTGTAATTCCAGCCTTTGGGAGGCTGAGATGGAAGAATCACCTTAGTCCAAAAGTTTGAGACCAGCCTGGGCAACAGAGGAAGATCCTGTCTCTACAAAAAAATTAAACAATCAGCCAGGTGTGATGGCTAGTGCCTATAGTCCCAGCTACTCAGACAGGTGAGGCAGGAGACTGCTTGAACCTGGGAGGTAGAAGTTGCAGTGAGCTGAGGTCGCACCACGCACTCCAGCCTGGCCGGGGGGGGGGGGGGGGGGGGGGGGGGGAGGGAGGGAGGGTCAGCGAGATGGATGTGGTTAATTGGCAATGAGGGTCTCAGCATTCTCCTGACATGTCTTCCTGTGCTGCAGAGGCTTTAAGGCTAATGCTCTATTTCCCACACTCTTCTGCAGATAAGGGTCTAGATACAAACTGGATTCCACCTACTCAGATTCAGTAGCATGAGATTTTAACAGTGGTGTAAAACCGAATTCTCCTGGGCTGTTATGACTAGCAGCATTTCTAGGGTGGGTCTCCAGCTTCACATTGACAGAAGCAAGGTGAATACATCTGGAGGCAGGACAGAGCGTAGTGTGCAGTAGGCAGGCTTGGGTGTGAGGAATTGAGGTCCCTGGACTGCAGCACCTCCTTCACCATGACAGTGGAGAGGGTAGCTCCACAGGTAAGCCACATCTACATTACTGCATGGTTATAAAGGTTCTCCAGACCACACTGTAGGACCTTCTCTGCAAACACTTCCAGTGATTTTGTGAGAAACAAATTCTAAGTGTTAAATCCCTTTTGTTAAAAAATGTTTGATGATAAAAACAGGTTCTATTTGCTACAACTGAGTCTGACGCACACATCCAAGATGTTGAATGATTTGAAAAGAAAACCCTGATGACTGTAATGAATTCTGAAGTCATTATGCTTCAAATAGTTGAAAACTTAGTTAAAAATATTTTTCACTGCCAACTTGACTTGTCTGCACATTTGTGAATATCTATGCAAATTAAATTAGGTCTAGTCTAAAAAATAAAATAAAATAAAACGCCATGAGACCCGTTGATAAACGGGATTCTGCTGCTTTGGATAGTCTACTGTGATAAAGTTCTCAAACATTTCAAGCTAATCTTAATATGAAGATCTTTCAATGTGGCTCCCCAGCACATCTATAAAAACAAAATATTTCAGGAGAGCAAGCCTAACAGTTAAGTTCATAATTCAAAATAATCAGAAACTAAATATACTCTTTTTTCCAAGTAGATTCTTCTCAATTTAAATCTGTTTTCCATGCACCTTTTTTCTCACTTGAACTAGTACAAAGAGGAGTGTACTGAAATGCAAAACAAATTTGAAAGAGATATTTAAAACAGGTATCTTTATACCTATGCAAAGAGTAAATGAAGCAAATATAAAGCTACATCCTTTTTAATATTACGCGATTAGTATTATTTCAACATTTCTCAATCTAGACAGTGCTAAGTTATTGGGTGCATCGAAAAAATACTTATTAATTCATTCAACAGAAGTTTATTGAGCATCTACATATTCAGAAGTGAAAAGGGCAGATTCAGCAAAATACACATTAAATAAGAGCTGAGAGGTGTGATTAAAAGAAACAATAAGGGTTCTGACAAAGGGCATCAATAATTTTTTTGTCGTTGTTGAGATGCAGTCTCACTCTGTTGCCCAGGCTGAAGTGCAGTGGTGTGATCTTGGCTCACTGCAACCTCCACCTCCTGGATTCAAGTGATTATTGTGCCTCAGCATCCTGAGTAGCTGGAATTACAGTTGGATGCTATCACACCAGGCTAATTTTTGTATTTTTAGTAGATACAAGTTTTCGCTATTTTGGCCAGGCTGGCCTCGAACTCCTGGCCAGAGTTGCACCTGCCTTGGCTCCGGAAGTGCTGGGATTATAGGTGGGAGCCACTGCACTAAGCCAATGAGTTTTCTAAAACAGACTGAAATAAAGTTTCTTTATTCAGATTAAATAAATTAGGTCAAGGAAGAAAGTATTATGAACACTAGACAACACATTTCAATTTACAAGGAGACTTAGGATAAAATGATCAACTGGGTAGTCAAACTAAATTACCATGAGGTCCACTTTCATCCTTAAAAGTTCATGATGTTCTCTAAGTTCTGTAATGTACCTCATGAACCAATACAAATATTTGCTTAAACATGTGTCAAATATCCCTGTAAGGACATAAAGAAAGCAAATAAAGAGGCTGCCTGTGAGGAGAAATGGGGGAGAAGACCAGGAGACACAGGAGGAAAGGAATTTTATACGGTACACATTGTGTCAAATGTTTTCCTTTTCAATCATATGAAATGGAATTGTTCAAAATGCAGATACATTAATAATTGCATAACATACATGGCACTGATTTTCATCAGAAAATTCAAGTGTGATATAAAATATAGTCTATTCTATCTGACCTTTAAATGAAAGTTGTTACCACACTCACAAAAGACCATCGTGAAAATGCCCTGGGATCCAGTGGTTTACCTAAGACACGACACTCATCATGGACACCAAGAAGTCAGGAGGGGCAAGCGATAGCAACAAACAAGGAGAGGTGGTTACCTTCCGGTCACAGGTTTTAGGACTCCCAGCAGTGTTCTGCTTGAGGAACCCAGCTGTTGTTGACCAGCGTGTGGGATTTTTCCTTGAAGGCTCTTCAGAGGAAAAATAATTATCACTGATAGAAGTGGAGAGGCCAATTAGAGCTGGGTCACTACTGCGTCGAACATGAAGAGGCATATCTGTAAACACAAAAGCACTATGCTGAAAAATAACATACTAATGTTGGTAGACTACATGTTGGAGAATGTAGGGTGATCCTAAAGACTAAGGAACAGAATTAGAATTTTTTAAAAGGGGACAGTGGGTCAGTGTTCTAAATACAAATTTCTTTAGGTCCTTTAAAATACTACATGGTGAAAGAGGTGTGGTCAAGTGTCAGCTCCAAGCAAGACTGCCAAGGTTTGTATTTGGGCTTCACTTCTTGTTATCTATGTGGCCCTGGCCAAGTTGCCTAACTGTTTTCTGCCTCTAGTCCTTTCCAACTCAAATGAAAATAAAACAGTACCTCTTTCATCAGGGTAATGTGAAGACTACATAATATAAAGGGGATAAACAGTGCCTGACAAATAGTGTGTACTCAGGAGAGAGTAATATTATAATGACTATTACTGCTATCATTATCCCAATATTCCTAAATAATGATCACATATATCATTCAACAAATAACGAATCTAAGCAAGTAAACAAATTTAATCTACCTTTTAATCATATCTGCTGGAATAAACATATAGAATCTATATAGTTAACAAATAATTTATTGTATATTTCAAAGTAGCTAGGGAGAGGATTTAAAATTTTTCCAATTTAAAAAAAGATAGATAATTGAGGTGTGAATATCCTCATTACCTTGATTTAACCATTACACACTGTATCAAAATATCACAAACTCTACATAAATACATACAATTATGTATCAATTTTTTAAAATCTATAGAATTTAGACATTTGGCTGCTCTATTGAAAAGTTTTGTTGAATAAAATGTTTCTTCAATAAAGTATTACCAGAAGGTATAGTGCCCAAATATATTATTTATACTTAAGACAGAAAATACTCGAAGTAATATGCTAATCTGCAGGTAGTTTGTCATATACTCACATATACAATTACACGAAAGGCAGCATTTTAGCAAATGCATTTGCATAGACGAGTTTGCTTGCAATTGTGATAACAACATCAATAATAAACTCAGATGAACACTTGTAACATTTATCAGTAGCACTGAGAACAGCCTGGCAAATAGAATCACTGTCACAGCAGAGAAGAAACAGAAAACAAAAATGCAAAGCCAAGAAGAAAAGAGTCTGCAACAGCTGGAATCAGGACTGGAAGTTTCACTCAGCAACTGAGTGAAATCACTCAAAAATGTAAGACAAAATTTAAATTATGTTTAGAGTACTGTTTTTAAGAACTAGGATGTAAGTTAAGCATTTGTTTTAAAGCCTCTAACAATAGAGCTTTATTTATTTTATTTTATTTTATTTTTTGAGACAGAGACTGGCTCTGTCCCCCAGGCTGGAGTGTAGTGGCACAATCTCAGCTAACAGCAACCTCTGCCTGCTGGGTTCAAGTGATTCTCCTGCCTCAGCCTCCCACAGCTACAGGCTACAACAAGCATGAGCCACCAAGCCGGGCTAGTTTTTGTGCTTTTAGTAGAGACAGAGTTTCACCATGTTGGCTAGACAGGTCTTTTAACTCCTGACCTCAGGTGATCCACCCACCTCGGCCTCCCAAAGTGCTAGGATTACAGGCGTGAGCCACCACATCCGGCCTAATGACACAGCTTTAACCATAAATTAGTAAATTCATTATTTATCCTCAGAGGGATAATTTTGAAACACTGGTGCACTGGTCAATGGTAAAAATATGGAGACCTTGAGGATACCAAACTAAAGACAGGGCATTTATATACAGTGAAGGCTATATTTAAACCAATATATGAAAGCAAATTAAAACTAATCAGATAAAACAAAAGCATATGAAACACAGTAATATCAAATTTAACACTGATTTCTACATCATGAGGATTGCATAACAATAACACAGTCTGAGCAACATTTCCAGGGCAAAAATTTAGCCCGCTTCGAATTTAATAATGTTGGTGGCTATCTTAATTTGATGAAAGAAATGTAAACATGACTATTTTAATAATTACTGGATTTATTATGCCTTTGATGCTTATAATTTATATCAAAAAAATAAAAATAAACACCAATAAGAATTATATAGTCATTTGGGAGGCCGAGGTGGGTGGATCACGAGGTGAAAAGATCGAGACCATCCTGGTCAACATGGTGAAACCCCGTCTCTACTAAAAATACAAAAACTTAGCTGGGCATGGTGGAACGTGCCTGTAATCCCAGCGACTCGCGAGGCTGAGGCAGGAGGATTGCCTGAACCCAGGAGGCGGAGGTTGCGGTGAGCCGAGTTCACGCCATTGCACTCCAGCCTGGGTAACAAGAGCGAAACTCCGTCTCAAAAAAAAAAAACAATTATATAGTCATTCTCACAAAAACAAACATCTACGAATCCATGCACGTTAATAGTCAATGCCCTTACTATAAGGAAAGTTCTCTACCAAGAGGAAGCACAATTTCCAGAATCATCAAATTAAAAACTGTAAGCAAAAAAGTAACAAAATAGGGAGGGGTGGGCAGGAAAAGACTAAATACTTCCAGACAATGTTGTTACTTAGACAAAGGTTCTGTTGCTTTCCAATTACAGGATTAATTCTTCAGTTGTTAAGTACCTCTCTACATTCAAGTTCTCTCCCTCTTCCTCTCGCCCCTCTGTGTGTGTAAGTCTACAAGAAGCACTATTAACTCAGAGGTGAAGGCCTTTAAAAAATGGAGCAGACATAAGGACCAAAAGCAGTACCCACTACCTATATTAAAATAATCACATAAAAGTATATTCCAACCCCGAATAAATTCAGGGACTAGATCCTGAATTTGCTTGGTCACAATAAAACTGCTTACCCTACTTGTGTTTGAAATTTTCCTCAGGAGAATACATTGCATACATGATTTCGATTATATAAGTAATTAGGACCATCTTCTTCAGACTAGACACAAACATTGTGTTACTGTGTTAGTCTGCAATAGACAGACAAAAATGATTAGCATTTCTCTATATATACCTGTGGCTCTTGAAATAAAATGTGAACTTGGGGAAAGAGGGGATTTGAGAGGAGGTACATGTTGAAGCTACAGACCCTGTGGGATGTCTCTTCTGGTGCATGATGGAGCTCATACAAAGGGTGCTGTTCGCATAAACTGCAATGTGAAGGATGCTACAGGGAATGCTCTATCATGCAGCCATTCTTCTGAGTTCTTCCAACATTAAACTTTTTGTTTGCATCTCAGTGATACTGATAAATCAAAATAAATATAGTCTGGATCTTCTATTTGTACTACCTAGTCACTGAGTACTCCCATGCAATTTCAAGTCCCACATTCACATTTATGTCGACTGTCAAATTCAGGAAGGTGTCCTACTATGCTGATGAGAAAGAACAAAACCCAATAAAGGTAGTTAAGGAAGCCAGGTGCAGTGGCTCATGCCGGTAATCCCAGCACTTTGGAAGGCCAAGGTGGAGAACTGCTTGAGGTCAGGAGTTCAAGACCAACTTGGGCAACACAGTGAGATTCTGTCTCTACAAAAAAAAAAATTAAAAAACTAGGCGATTATGGTGGCACACTCCTGTAGTTAGAAGGTAGGAAGCAGGCCTTGACTGCAGAGGCAGGGCTGGCACACCAGACCAAATGGAGGACTAGCTAAAACAGGGCTAGGGCAGAAGCAGCTTTCCATCAAACATACTCACCAGCATACCATGTCAATTTACTATCACCATGGCAACACCTAGGTGTTACCTACCATTTCCCTGGTAAAAACCTAATGTCCTAGTTACTATACCTTCCCTAAATATTTCTGCACAAACTGCCCCTTAATCTGCATGTAATTAAAAGTGAGTATAAATATGACTGCAAAACTGCCCTGGGCTGCTACTCGTTGCCAATAGAGAGTACCTCTGCTCTGCAGAAGCAGTCATAGAGCTATGACACTGTTGCTTCAATAAAGCTGTTTTCTTCTAGCCCCAGCTCACCCTTGAAGTCTTTTCCTGGGCAAAGCCGAGGACCCTCATGGGCTAAGGTCCACTGTGGGCCTCACATGTCCTGCATCAGTCCTAGCTTAGGTGTCTTAGGTGGGAAGATCACCTAAGCCTAAAAGTTGAAGCCTGCAGTGAGCCGTGACTGTACTACTGCACTCCAGCCTGGGCAACAAAGCAAGGTCCTGTTAGTCCAAACTGGCCCAGTCAGTCAGTCAGTCAGTCAGTCAGTCAGTCAAAAGAAGTCAATGGCATGTTCTCATCAAAGAATGCCAAATGATATCATAATAATGTTGAAATCAAGGTTTTCTTATTTAGAAAGAAAATATATTTGCTGCAAGACCTGAGTCATCATAGTACATAAAGGCAGCATAACCAGGTCCAAATAAAAAGACCCCATGTCACCCCAGGGCATGTCTAGGTTCATATAGCCTACGATTTAGACTCCAGAAGACATCTTTAACTCTCACAATGATGTGTATCTGATGGGTATCTGTTACATATCTGGATGTGTATTGGTTTATGATTTCTTCTTCTTTTTATGATTGCATGAAAAGTATAAGGCATTTTATGCAGTTTTCACACACACAAACACATGCGAGCACATACAGTTTAGTAATGCTATGTTAGAACCCACCGCTTAAATAGAGGGATACAAAATTTTTTTCTTAAATAAGGCACTACATTAGACACATGGAAAAACATGTGACCCACATCACATATACGTAAGCTGAGGCTCAGAGAGAGAACATAAAAAGTCAGTTCTCCAGTTAAGACTTCAAGCTCCCGACTCAGTGCTCAATCATTAATCACAAATTATCAAATCAGATCTATTAAGTTCCATTTCTAGCTACCTGTGAATACAAACGTTAGTTTCCGTTTTTTAAAAAAGAAAAATTTTGTTATTTTCCTAGAATTATGCAATTAGAAATCATATCCTGATTTTAAGTCATAGCATAGAATCATAGCATGATTTCATTTTGGGAAGAGAAAGAAACGTTACATTAGCCATAAACATATATTGTAACAACAGGTATCCAAATTTCACAAATGTTAAGATAGGAAAAGGAAAA